CACAGCCATACTGAGAACTGTCAGACTGAAGTACTAGTGCCTTATTTGGATCAAAATAAGATAACACTGGGCCTGGACACTCAGTAAGTATGTCTTTGACTTTCTGAAATGCTCGAACTTGAGGAGCATCCCAGTGAAAAATGACAATCTTTCTTTTAATATTTCTGAGAGAGGATGAATGATCTCGGACAAGTTTGGGGCATATCTAGATAGATAAGTTATCATGCCAAGTATTGTCTTAAGCTCAGACTTGTCTTTAGGCGCTTCCATCTCTTGGATAGCCCTACATTTTTCGGGGTCTGGTTTCAATCCATCAGCTGAGAGGATGTGACCAAAAATACTTAACCTCCGAGACGCAAACAACAAGTTTGTCTTCGTTTAACCTAATGCCCTTTTGGCGGCACCTATCAAGTAAGTTTCTTAAGTTTATGTCATGCTCTTCTCGAGTTGAACCATAAACAAGAATGTCATCTACAATGACACAACAACCAAGTAAGCCTTCTAAGCACTCATCCATATTTTGCTGGAAGAGATCTTGGCTGCATTTCAGTCCCATGGGACATCTTAGATACCTATAACGACCTTGAGGGGTGTTGAATGTTGTTAGATATGATGATTTATCATCTAAAACAACGGACCAGTAACCTGATTTGCAGTCAAGTTTTGTGAAATATTTTGCAGATTTTAACTGCGGCAAAATATCATCTAAGGTTTTTGTAGGATAATGTGGCCTATGGATTGCCTTATTAAGGTCTTTAGGGTAAATTACAATTCTAACTTTATCATAATGTGGCTTATTGACTACGACCATACTATTCACCCAATTTGTTGGTGTAGTGACCTTGGCTATGATTCCAGCCTTTTCCATAGCATCAAGTTCCTTTTTAACCTTGCTTTGAAGAGCTACAGGAACGCGTCGGGGAGGATGAATTACTGGAGAGTACTTGGGATCTACTTTGATCGAACAAGCACCAGGTAATTTTCCAAAGCCATGAAAAACTTCAGGAAAGTCACGCAAGACAGAATTTTTATTCATTTGCTCATTCTGGTCTACGGACATTACAATCTGAATTAAATTGAAGTCAATGCATGATTGTAAACCTAGGATTGAGGGTTTGTTTGTTCTCACAACATAAAATTCTACAAGTTTTGTGCATTTCTTGTAGCTGCATGAGAGATCTACTACTCCTAGAACCTTAATTTCAGTGCCTGAGTAAGCAGTGAGCTTGACAGTTGGCTTCTTTAAGGGGGTATTGACCTTGAGGGATTTGAAATCTGCCTCAGAAAGGATGTTACAGCATGCCCCTGTGTCAAGTTTAAACTGTTTAAGATGACCTTTAGAGCCCACCTGTAAATCAACAAATACCTGTCCCTTTGAATGTGAATCAACTGCACCAATACAAAATTCACTGTCACTGTTACTGTCACTGTTATTGTTTCCGGTTTCGATTTCATGCACTTTTTTGTTTGACCTACACATAACTGCATAGTGATTCCATTTATGGCAGTTCTTGCACTGTTTTCCTCTTGCCGGACATCGATCTTTACTGTGATGTGACTGTCCACAATTTCCACATTTTGTTATCTGTTGGTTTTGTCTAACTCTTGAATGGTGATTGTGTTTCTTTCCAGTCTCGTTTTGGTGTTTTGACATGGAATGTCGTTTATGATAAATGTCATCGATGTTTTTGGAATTAGTCATATCACGTAGTTGTGCCTGTGCGTATTCATGTGACTGTGATATCCTGACTGCTTTTTCAAGAGTCAATGCTTCGCCTTCCGTGATTAGTTTTTCACGAACTTTTTCCGACGTAATTCCAATAACTATTTGATCTCGTATTACATCATCTCTGTACCCTGCATCAAAAGCGCAATCATTTGCTAATGTTTTTAGACGTGTGATGAATTGTTCTATCGTACTGTTTCCCTGTTTTTCATTGTGGAATTTGTATCTGCTAAATACAGGATTTGATTTTGGTTGTAGATGTTTTTGAATTGCATCCGAAATTGCCTTTATTGATTTCCTTTGGAGCTCAGTTAATGTAAGAGTATTATATATCTGGCGGCCTCTGTCACCAATCCAAAGTAATAAGTAAGTAACTTGTACTTCTTCTTCTTTTTCTCTTAATGCACCACTAAATATAAGTTCTGCGTGCTGCCTGAACTTTTTGAACTCCTCCATAGGGTTCTGACTGTCCCAGTTCATTGTTGGTATGGGTACACCATTTAAGGTATTAGGACCCTAATGGGTACTATCAGGAATTAAAAAATTGACATCATAAGTCAGATGTATACCTTAAAGTACACCTGTTGGAAAAATTTAAACAAAGTTTACCGTACGGAAATCAAGTTATGGCCACTTTTCTGAACTCAAGCTAGGATGTTATGAGGGCCCTTTTTAGAGAGTAAGAACCTTTAAATAATCTGCAATAACATTGTAATGAAAAATGTTTTCCCATTAATTTTTGGTAAGAAACAAACAGTACCATTCAGCTACCAATCCAAATAAGCAAAATTATGGTTTCTACTTAAAATTTATGAAATCTGTATAAAAAATGTTACCCTACCCCACCCATTTTTACCACGTGTCTGACCATTTTTCTACTTAGGGAGCCTAATTTAAAAAAATCTTAAAATTTACCCAATTGAGTGCCTGTTTTCAAAGTTTCCCTAAATTTTTAAAAAAAGTATATTGGTTGATCTTGTAAAATATGAAATACTTTTACCGTCTAGTTTTGATTATATTACACTTTGAAAATATCAGGCACCATATTTATTACTATATTTAGCATAATTTAGCCAATAAATACCTATATAAATTAAAAAATCAAAATTAAACACTTTTTTCTTTCCAAATAGGACATGAGAGATACATAAATAATGTTAAAAGAAAAAAAGAAAGAAAAAAAAGTTGACACTTCTGGGGATTGAACCCATGGCCCTCATTTTCAATGTAGTTAACAGTAGTTCCAGCCTATTTGAATACTCTTCAAAGCGGAGGTAATGCATTAGGGTGCTAATACCTTAAATCCATTGTAGAGCTGTAGAATTAATTTATTCCTCTGAAGAAAGTTAAATGTTTGTGATTCATACAATTTAATTTCTTTCCAGAATGCTTGTTAAATCCGATTCCAAATAAATTTTAATTAAATTCCTTTTATTACAATATTATTCCTTTAGTTTACTTCTGACACCATGTTATGTTGTATGGATGATAACAAGATTCAAACTATTCTACAATTTTTATAACCATTTAATACATGTTGTTAAGACCAGAGCTCAAGTGAGAAAAATGACCCAGGTATCAGAGAGGCATGATCATATATATAACATAGCATTAATGAATATCAAGTAAAGGGAAGTAATCCCATTAACTATACAACTAAACATGTAAAGAGTTATCTAATCTTGATATCATAACACAAACTAAAATATTTTAGCCTACTTTAGCTTATGAATAAAATATATTGAAAAACTCATTATAATAATCAATAGAAATTGACACACTGTTATCAGACAAAAAGCAATCTAAAAAATGAATGATCAGTCAAGGTAAGTGTTCATTAGTACTTAAGCATCTACAAAATTAAATAGGTCAAGAACGACGCAAATAAACAGTCGCTAAAATTTGAGTAAATTTTTACATCTATGTGATACTGCTTAACAATCGATTCTGATTATGACTAACAGGCGCCTTGCCAGGGTACTGTTAATAAAAGACATTATTTATATGCAAATTCAAAAAGATAAAAGATTAAATGTTCTACAAGACTATTAATTTAAAAGACATAGTGTGCAGATTATAATTTGTGGAATGGGTCAAGACTCGATCTCAGTAAAGATGTTAAAACTGGGGCTGGGGCGTCCATGGCCGAGTGGTTAAGGTCGTTGACTTCAAACCACTTGCCCCTCACCGCTGTGGGTTCGAGTCCCGACAGGGACTTTGGATTCTTTCATGTGAGGAAGCTATCCAGCTAGCTTACGGAACGTCGGTGGTTCTACTCAGGTGCCCGTTCGTGCCTGAAATAATGCGCGGAAGGGCACCTGAGGTCTTCCTCCACCAGTAAAGCTGGAACGTCGCGATATGACCTATACTGTGTCGATGTGACGTAAAACCCAAAACAAAAAAAAACAAAAACTGGGGCTAGACTGAACAGTTAGAGGATGGATATTCCAAAGACGTATGCTCCTAGGAAAGACAGCATTTTGATGGTATTGCGTCCTTGAGTAAAGGTACCAGGTAGTTCAGATTTCTTGTTTAAGTAAGGTGTTGTTAGTCAACAAAGACAATGTTGTTTTGGAATTTACACAAGTAGGTTACAGCACTGATGTTTCGACGCTGCTAAAGGGTTTGCCAATTAAGTAATCATTTATGAGACACTACTGGTATAGTCATAATCATTAAATATATCTAGCAGCTGATCTTTAATTGGACTTGTTCTATCTTATAAATTAAATATTTCTGCCAAGGATGCTAAACTATGGAACTATATTCAACCAGAGGTCTAACAAAGGTCTTATATGCTGTTTCCTTTATCTTTTTATTTGAGGTTTTAACATTTCTTCTCATGAATTTGCTTTAGATGTACTATTGTTTATATATGTTTGGTCCATGAAAGGTCTTGACTAATAGTGACTCCCAAGTATTTTACTTCATTGGTTGGTTTAAATTGAATATTATGGAGGATATAAGGAAAATTTACAGGGATGTTGCACTTACTCATTATTCATCATGTATTGACTCAATCAAACCTGCAAGTCTGCAATTTTCATGTACTTTTGTTGTGATTAATGCTTTCGAGGGATCACTTTGTGTCCAGATTTTTTTCATTTTCTTGCTATTCTGAGAACATTATGTTGGTATGTTTACAGAATAAAAGAAATAATAATAAAAACTCTGTTGCTTAATTTAGTCAAGCTGGCAAGAAAAACGTATCATAAGCGAATTAATATCACGAAGTACCAAAAGTACGCTGGGTAGGAGACTGGATATAGTGATGTTCAGCCTTACACACGGTATGGTATACGTTTTTGAAAGTTGTTGCCCTTTACTACTCTCCAACAATGTCAAGAATCGGCACTTTAAAGGTTATTTATGCAAAATAGTGTGTTTTTTACTTTAATTCTTATTGTCATGAAATAAAATCGTTTCAGATTTGTTTATTGTCATCAAGTATGTAATCTACCAACGTGATAGTATAAAGAATCAAAGTATTATCACATAATTTTAGCTGCTGAAATAAACAAAATTGAGCACGTTTTTTCTTAGTTCTGGCTTCCAAAACTTTATAAGAAGTCGGTTTTTTTCATATTTTTTTGTTTTTCATCTGATGCAGCATTAAAGTTTTCGATTAGTCCCGTTACGAAACCTAACCAGAATAACATAAGTTGATTTAACCATTTTTTTCACTTGCAACCCTTGTCCACAGGTGCTTTAGTCCTAATTATAAGACCTATACGTAACCTATTTCATATTTATCATTCATTAATCTGATATTTTACATTTTTCATTTTCCATGTTACGTTAGGTCTTAACAGATCTTTGCAAAATCGTGTAGCAAAAAAATTGACATTAGACATCGATTTAGATCTAATGAATTTAAACAATTAAAACAGCGTGTTTTTACATTAATTTTGACCTATTTATGAACAAAACTAAAAAATGAATACCTTTTAATAAAATTATTGAACTGTCACATCCGAAAAGTCATGATTAAATCCTCTCATTTAATTAAATTCCTTGTACAGCCGATATACAAATGGCCGCCATACAGTGCGCGAAATCTGATTGGCTAATTCAAATGCAAGCGTTTAAATGAGTCCAGAAGTTTCTAACGGAATATTTTTTCAACGAAATAATTTCCCTTGCACAGTCAGTGTGTTCGAATATATTTTTCCGTTCAAAAAATTGGAATCAATCTGTAAAACGCCTTACTTAACCAGTATGGCCGATGAGCAAAATAAACTGATATTTATATTTTATTTTTAATTAATAAGTACATTGTTTGAAAGTTTTTGTTAATGATAGACCATGCAATTGAAAGAACAGAATATAAGCTTTTGAATAAAGCTTGAAAGGCAAGTCAACAGACATTTTTTTAATTTTTCAAAATGCTACGCGTTTATGAGCAATAACTATTAGACGTCAGGCTTGACCAACATAAAACTATAACAAGCCTGTAACGTCTAATCTATTGGACTACAGGTGCTTGAAACAAACTCTTTAAAGTTTTATAAGGGCTAAATACTATAATAAGATATAAGGTCTCCAACAGAACACAAACATCATGCTGAACAAACGAGAACACTGCTGCAAGAAACGACCAGATCACAGTTATCTCTTTCTGGTCGACTTTCGAAAGGATCAATTCAAGCGTTAACGCTTTTTATTTAATTAAAGTTCTTCAAATAGCAAAGAAATGAGTAAAAATTTCACAAAATGCCAATATTTACAATCCATGTCGTTTTCGACGTCCAATCTATTCATGTATACAAACACGATTTCTGGTCGATTTCTACGAAATAAATAGAAAACGTCTAAAATTTCCTCATAAATTTCATAAACAAACTCTTTTTTATCAATCTGCAAAGTCTAAATTTAACTAGAGCCCTCTTTGTACGCAAATATTTAAAAAATATTGGTTGTAGAAGCGGAGGTCAAATAAAGTGCGCCATTTTGATTTTGAAGTGACAGGTAAATGAAGCAAAGAAATAGTATTATATGATTGGTCAATAGTATTCCGATAATTATCTTATCCAATCAAATCCTTATATAATATTCAGAGCGGAACAGTATATACATGCGCTCTACATGGCGATAAAATACTGTCACAAGCGGGATCCTTGTGTATTTTTTAATGAATTACGTATGAAGAGGGCTTTTGATCAGTTAAGACTTCGCAGATCGATAGGAAAAGAGTTTGTTTATGGAACGTACGTGGAAATTCTAACCGTTTTTTGTTTATTTCGTAGAAATCGACCAGAAATCGTGTTTGTATACATGATTGGTATGGACGTCGAAAACGACATGAATTGAAAATAATGGCATTTTGCGAAGCTTTTCCCAATTTCTTTGCTATTTGAGGGATTTTAATGAAATAAAAAGCGTTGGCACTTGGATTGATGCTTTCAGATGGCGACCAGAAAGAGATAACCATGATCTGGTCGTTTCTTGCAGCAGTGTTTTTGCTTGTTCCGCATGATGTTTTTGTTTCGTTGGGGGCCTTATATCTTTATATACATATATAGACCGGTTATGTAAAATATTTGATTATGTGACAAGCGCCTGTGCCCTTGTCCCAATAAATTCTTGTGCATTTTGTGATAAAACAATCATTGATATCGTTCTATACCATTTTAAGTATCAAAATATTAATACCGTCATTAAAATTGCCTATTTAAACGTAAAACGTCAAATACGCCAATTACAGTCGGCCATGACATTTAGGAGCTATGCGAGATCACGTATGACGACACATCATTCCCAGGAACCGAGTAGAGAAGAGTCCTAAACTATATTAAGAACGTCTTTGTTGACATGATATCAATATTTATAATTTAAGATAATGTTTTTATTAACTTTCTTTATTTTTTTAGTACTTAAATATATTTATATTGAATACAAAATTAAGTAAATCACCTTTTTCAATATCTTTAAAAAAGTAATTTATAAAAAAGTTAGAAGCACATAGGTTAGTAAAGGTCAATCTTGTAATCACATGGTCAAACATTTTGGCAATATGGCGACCAAGTGCTAATTTTTTTACCTGTCGGAAACTATTAGGGAGTTTATGTTCGTAATAAAATTTTTATTTGTCCATCCTTGGCTTATCACAGATTATATGAGCCGAGCCATGACAAAACCAACATAGTGGGTTTGCGACCAGCATGGAACCAGACCAGCCTGTGCATCCACACAGTCTTATCAGGATCCCTGCTGTTTGCTATCAGTTTCTCTACTTGTAATAGGGTTTGTAAGCGAACAGTATGGATTCTGATCAGACTGCGAGGAGGCGCAGGCTGGTCTGGATCCATGTTGATCGCAAACACACTATGTTGGTTTTGTCATGGCACGGCTCATATATGGTTTTATTTAGGTATGCTTCACTTTACTTCATGGCATGTTCGATGAATGAATACTAGCGTGTCAGATTCCTGGCACGATTATTGATGGACTTTCCCTACGGTTCTGTCTTCAGCGTTCACATCATGTCATACTATATAAACGGGTACGCTGAAGACCTTAAGCTATGTTTGGAAATGCACAGACTCCAAACCCTTCCGTAAACTTAATTTCAATTTGCTTCTGTCAGTTAGCAGCAGTCATGCAATTTCACATAAATTTAGGGAAAATTAAGCTCATTTAAAGCTACTTAGCCTACTATCCCACACATTGTAGTTTGGTCATTTTTATGCCCCCGCCATGTAATGGCCGGGGCATATAGTGTTACCCTGTTCCGTCATTCCGTCCTTTCGTCATTCCGTCATTCTGTCATTCCGTCATCATCAGTTTCCGTTCATTATCTTAGTAACGGTTGCACATATTCAACTCAAATTTGACATATGGATATGTCATGAGAAAATACAGGTCAAGTTCGAATTTGGTCATGGTTCGATGATTTTTGGCAGAGTAATGCCCCTTTTACTTTGAAAATAATATGAAATTTTCAGTTTCCGTTCATTATCTCCCCAACGGTACAACACATTCAACTCAAATTTGACATATGGATATGTCATGAGAAAATACAGGTCAAGTTTGAATTTGGTCATGGTTCGATGATTTTTGGGAGAGTTATGCCCCTTTTACTTTGAAAATAATATGAAATTTTCAGTTTCCGTTCATTATCTCCCCAACGGTACAACTCATTCAACTCAAATTTTACATATGGATATGTCATGAGAAAATACAGGTCAAGTTCGAATTTTGTCATGGTTCGATGATTTTTGGCAGAGTTATGCCCCTTTTACTTTGAAAATAATATGAAATTTTGAGTTTCCGTTCATTATCTCCACAACGGTACAACACATTCAACTCAAATTTAACATATAGATATGTCATTAGAAAATACAGGTCAAGTTCGAATTTTGTCATGATTCGATGATTTTTGGCAGAGTTATGCCCCTTTTACTTTGAAAATAATATGAAATTTTCAGTTTCCGTTCATTATCTCCCCAACGGTACAACATTTTCAACTCAAATTTGACATATGGATATGTCATGAGAAAATACAGGTCAAGTTCGAATTTGGTCATGGTTCGATGATTTTTGGCAGAGTTATGCTCCTTTTACTTTGAAAATAATATGAAATTTTCAGTTTCTGTTTATTATCTCCCCAACAGTACAACACATTCAACTCAAATTTGACATATGGATATGTTTTTGGAATGCCCAGGCCCAGTTCGAATTTGTTCATTGTTCAATGATTTTTGGCAGAGTAATGCCCCTTTCACTTTGAAATTAATATGAAATTTACAGTTTCTGTTCATTATCTGCCCAGCAGTGTTACATATTTAACTCAAATTTGACATATGGATATGTCAAAGGAATGGGCAGGTCAAGTTGGAATTTGGTCATGGTTCGATGATTTTTTTGGCAGAGTTATGTCCCTTTCACTTTGAAAATAATATAGATACATCTTAGGAATAAGCAGTTTAAGTTTGAATTTGGTCGTGGTTCAATGATTTTGGACAAACTTATCTTTCTTGAATATTGGAAAAATTTTGAACTTTCAGTTTCAGCACTCATACTTTTGTGGAAATGTATGTAGCCATTATTTTGGCTACAAATATGAAATATGCTATTTTCAAAAGGTTAAGACTGAATAATTTCAGTGCCTTGAACATTGTATGGAAATGGTTTGTGTTAACATTGAAAAGTTTTAAAGGCTTTGAACTTTAAATGAAAACAATAATTTGTGCAAACAAATTTGGAACTAAATATTATAACATCTGAAATTTTGGCTGCATGCGGGGGCATCCGTGGCATGATGACACATTTCTAGTTGAAATAATATGTCATCAAAAGATAAAATTTTACCACAGGCTCATGCATTTATATAGAACTAGATGATAAATACATTTCTTTGAAGAAAAAACATTTAAGTACAGTTTTTGCAATGTATATGATGCTGTAATTTTAAACCATTGCAACGTTTTATTTTGTAAATTAAAATACTGACTTAAAATTATATACACACCCATTAACGGGTTGAAAGTAGATCCGTTTGTTGCAGTTGTCCAGTTTAAAACTGACATTTATATAGAAAGTTCTACCTGCATCAAGCTGTCCTACTAGCAACATGTTCACAGGTGTGATAAAAGGGTTGTTTATATTTGTGTCAAGTGAAACATAACAACCGTTAGTTCACAGTTATCTCGTGAAAACTGCAAATTTTACTTCTATGCATATTTGATATCTGTAAACAAATTTGTTGTTGATTTTTAGACCCGTTTGTGTGGAAGAGTAGTTATAAATACCTCCTTGAAATTTAACACCATTCCAGATCATGGTTTTAGTATAATACTACAGAATTTCTTTCTGTCAAGATATATTTTTGCATGTGATAAAGGTATGATTAGGTATATAAGAAAGCCTTTTAGATGGTTAATTATTGGTCATGCTTATTGTTATTTTAGAACAGTGTGAGTTTCATCACTGGGGGAGCATCAGGGCTCGGGAAGGCAGCTGCTAGGAGATTCGTTGAGCAAGGTGGTAAAGTTGTCATATGTGACCTCCCTAAATCAGATGGAAGTCAAGTTGCTAGTGAGCTTGGAGATAACTGTATGTTTGTTCCTACAGACGTAAGTTTAATTTTCTGTTATATTCTTTTTGTCTAACTTGCAACAATTTATTTTTAGCTCACCTGTCACAAAGTGACAAGGTGAGCTTTTGTGATCACTTTTCGTCCGGCGTCCGTCCGTCGTCCGTCCGTCCGTAAACTTTTACTTTAAATGACATCTCCTCATAAACCACTAAGCCAATTTCATCCAAACTTCACAGGAATGTTCCTTTGGTGGTCACCTTTAAAAAATGTTCAAAGAATTTAATTCCATGCAGAACTCTGGTTGCCATGGCAACTGAAAGAAAAAACTTTAAATATCTTCTTTTAAAAAATCCTAAGAGCTAGAGCTTAGATATTTGGCATGAAACATCTTCTAGTGAGTGTCTACCAAATTTGTTCAAATTAAATCCCTGGGGTCAAAATTGGCCCCGCCCCGGGGGGTCATTGTTTTTCCCTATATGCATATAGTAAAAACTGAAAAAATCTTCTTTTAAAGAACCCAAAGAGCTAGAGCTAAGATATTTAGCATGAAACATTTTCTAATGGGTGTCTACCAAGTTTGTTCAAATAAAAGCCCTGGGGTCAAAATTGGCCCCGCCCCAGGGGGTCATTGTTTTTCCCTATATGCATATAGTAAAAACTTAAAAAATCTTCTTGTAAAGAACTCAAAGAGCTAGAGCTAAGATATTTAGCATGAAACATGTTCTAATGGGTGTCTACCAAGTTTGTTCAAATTAAAGCCCTGGGGTCAAAATTAGCCCCGCCCCGGGGGTCATTGATTTTCCTTATATGTATATAGCAAAACTTAAAAAAAGCTTCTTTGAAAAAACCCAAATAGCTAGAGTTTAGATATGAGGCATGAAACATCTTCTAGTGAGTGTCTACAAAGTTTTTTCAAATAAAAACCCTGGGGTCAAATTGGCCCCGCCGTTGGGGGGGGGGGGTCATTGATTTTCCCTATTTGCATATAGTAAACATTTAAAAAATCTTCTTTGAAAAAACCCAAATAGCTAGAGTTTAGATATTAAGCATGAAACATCTTCTAGTAAGTGTCTACAAAGTTTGTTCAAAAAAAGCCCTGGGATCAAAACTGGCCCCGCCCCAGGGGTGTCATTGTTTTTAACTATATGTGTATAGTAAAAACTTAAAAATCTTCTTTTAAAAAACCCAATGAGCTAGAGCTTAGATGATTAGCATGAAATATCTTCTTATGGATGTCTACCAAGTTTGTTCAAATAAAAGCCCCCGGGTGAAAATTGGCCCTGCCAGGGGAGGGGGAGGAGAGATCATTGTTTTTCATTATATGTGTGTAGTAAAAACTTAACATTGTGAAATAAAAACTTAACATTGTGAAACATCTTCTAATGAGTGTCTTCCAAGTTTGTTCAAATAAAAGCCCTGGGGTTTAAACTGGCCCCGCTCTGGGGCCCTATATACAGGTGATCGACCTCAGGGCCATCATGGCCCTCTTGTTAACATTGAGGGTTGCTAGTTTCGTTTGGTGGGGAAAATTGTGATCCCATCACTATTAAAAAGGGTACACATGTATATACAACTGTAATTGATAATTACTTTCATTTTATATGAAAGTAAAAGGAAGTAAAGAAGAACTACAGAAAATACTAAAGTTATTGTTTTTAACTCCTTAGATCAGAAAAGTAAGCTTTTGTGATCACTTGCTGTATATGAACGTAAATCTCTTGGTTTGTTTGTCTGAGTGAGTGACCTTAACTAAATACAGAGCAGCGTTATAATAGTCAGAACAAAAGAGGACAATAAGCTTCATTTGCTTACAAAAAAACCCATACCTAGTTAAACTCTATATATAAACTTGTTGCCTCAAAAGGGAAAACCAGAAATCTTTAAATCAATCATTTTGATTACTAAGGCTTCCTTGAACTAAACTTGGTAAAAAATAAGTGTGACCTGAGTAGGCGTTGAACCCACCATCCCTTGGTTTAGAGGCACACACCTTAAACTTTATGTCACTGTTCCCCTTAACTTTGTAAAGTTCAAAACTGTTGTTGAATCAGCACTTTTGTTAAAACACATATGAGCCAGTGCCATGACAAAACCAACAAAATGGGTTTGCGACCAGCATGGATCCAGACCAGCCTGCGCATCCGCGCAGTCTGATCAGGATCCATGCTGTTCGCTTACAAACCCTATAACAAGAAGAGA